GAAATCTTGTTTATCCCACTACTGGCAAACAGCCATATGTCCCATATGCACGCTGCATTCCTTCACGGCAACGTAACGGCATAACACAAACGTTTCTAAGCTGTAAACTATGATGATGACTGAAATATAGTCGAAACGTAGATTTCTAAAGCTGTCTCTACTGGCCTTCTGACTGTCTTTTCAACTTCCGGATATAAGCTGAATTTAACAATTAAAACCCGATATAAGCTGAATTTAACGTCAAGCCGTATAATGTTTTGCTGATGTCATTAAAAGGCACAGTTCAGCCTTTGATTGATGGTTTTTAAGATTATGCATAATTCAAGATCAGTAAACTCACTGTTTTTAACAATAAGAATATTTTAACGTGTTAAAAACATTGAGTTTACTGATCTTGCATTGAATTATGTTTAATAATTTATTCTCCTAGTTAATACTAATTAAGGCATGAATTTGGAGGTAAAATATACAGCCTGTATTCTGGGAGAATTTCCAGGCGTAAATACCCCAGGAATATCTGCAATATTCATGACCATATTCGAACCCGGAATATCACCGAATATTGGTGATATTCCTGCCCATAATCAGACTCGCAATACGGGTCGGAATATGTATTTTATTCCGACCCATATAGAGACGGAAATATGTGGGAATACACACTTTTTCTTCCAGTGCATGCTTTGGTAAAATTTCCATGTTGGAACATAAACTGAATTTGTATCTGTACCACTTTTTTTGCTACCTTCATGTCAGACATAGTTCTTGTTGAAAATAACTCTCAACTGATGCCAATTGTTTACAACAGTCATCAGCAGACTTACTTCCTAATGGTATAAACAGAGTGGCTATTTTCTCAAAGGCTTGAGATAGTTTGTTTCTGCCCCTATACTCTTTCAGCTGATGGTTCCACGACAAAGGATGCTCTTTCACAACGTCTATTAAAGACTTGATTTCCTTGTCACACCATTTTGGGGATTCCTTTCCTTTTAAAGACTTTAAAATTTCTTCTTTCAAGAATTCCATACAGGAGTATAGTGGCCACTTTGACTGACATTCGGTATCTGCAATGCCAGACTTAATTTCTCATGTCATTGACGTAAGAGAAGGCTGTGTGAAGGCTGTTGCTGGTTGTCACCATCGCCGAAAGAGCAGATTTCCTCTTTGGTTTGTTGCTATACTCGCTTGTTTCGCTAAACATTGGTTGTTCTTCACCTCCATGATAATCTTTTCTTTTTCTGCTATACTATTTATACTTTTTTCAATGACATGGCACTGGTGATGTTGTCGGACAATTCATTGCTTAAATCAACAAAGTCATCCATGTTGTTTTATATGATCATTTGATGACCTTGGGTACAAGCTTAGCTTTATATGGAGTTCATAGTCTGTACTAGTCTGAGAGACTGAGACACAACAGTGCAACACTGTCTGCTACTAGATAATACATGAAAATATAGTGATTCCTGTCATGTGACCAGGCGTCGACATATATGGTAAACAATATCACTAATTAATAACCTGATCAACGAAACTCTAATTGCGATGTTGAACGCAGGTGTAATATCTCTGACCATACAAAATACAGCATGCGCCACAGGCGTAGAAAGTCTTTATTTTATATCAAATCGCACTGTTTCAATGTTTTGTAGAAGAATTTCAATTTGTTTACGAGGTTATGATTTCCAATGCTCGATGGGAGTGGTGTCGCATGGACATCAGAGCAGAGCACTCCAAGGTCTAGTTGTCGCACGAGTGCCACATGAGCCTGCAAAAACCATGGCACAACAGAAACATTGCACTTCAGCAACCAATCAGAACACATCTCTACCTTCCTTCTCACCTCAGAAAAACGAGTCTTTGTTCTGTGTTTGTATGAATATTAGTGATTTGCCGTAGTGTCCGTTACTCTGTCATTTTATTTCTTTGCATTTTGTTGATCGATTGTGTGTTTTCGCTGTCTAAAATTATATTGTGTGCAATGGTAGGGCAGGGGAAAGATTCGACAGCAATGAAAAAAAGACATCAAAGGTTATATTCACAGAGTATCTGAAATTAAAATGCTAGCATTGTGAAACCCCGGGTCTTTGACTTCAAAATCCAGGAGTGAGAAGACAGCGTGTGTGGTTTTGCTTCAGCCCAGAAAAACGTTAAGAAATAAAGGATAACGAAATCACCAAATCACCTGTAATCATAGTCGACGCAATTAGTTCAATCAAAGCAACGATTTGGGAAAACATGCTCCCTAACATAATGGAAGGGCATTCATACGTATCCAACAATTCAATGTCAGCATATGTGAGTTGGTGATCAAGGAAATCGACAAGATATCTAAGGAAATACTGCAGCAGCCGAACAGCTTAAACCCAAGAAAAAGGAATGTTCAAATTTTGCCGGCAGAGTTTTGATGTAGATGTGTCATTTACACTTGTTTGCATCAACTGCAGAAGTCGAATTACAGACTCGGACGACCAATTTGTCAATTGTGGTTCATGCAAAACAACATTCTTGAAAGAATTCGTAAAGAAAATGGTCTCTGCAAACATGGTGGTGATAGATGAGAACAACGAAAATAAAGGATGCTTTTATTGTTTGAGTTCCGTTCTGAACAGCATGTTTGAGCAATTAAAGCGACGAAAAATTACAATATGGAGGAGACCGATGGTGCCAAACTCTCATGGAAAATGATTGTGGAAACTCTTCTTCTGGTTAAGAAGTAGTAGTTTGAAAATGAATACTTAATCAGCTCCGCTGATCCCTGGAGATTTCAAATCCCCTTCCTGCTTTCAAGAAAGTTTTCTTCCAGTTTCAAAACACTGATTAAACATTAGTTTCTTTTGTTTTTGGTTTATGAATTATTGAGTTTGAGAATTACATTCCGCCCGCGTTTTGTTTTCTCACTGAGGTACTGGCATGTCAGCGGTTTTATCTAATACATTTTGTCTGTTTTCTTTTATATTTGCATGCCATGTTTTGCCGGCACTTGTACAGTCTTTCTTTTTCCCGTTTCGTACGGTGTTTGTTTTATTGTTGAGGCATTCTCTGCCCTTTGAAAATGTTGATTTGTTCATGTATTATATTGTTCACACAGTATTTTTGTTCATAATTTATATGACCATCCAGGCATTTTCTTTGTTTTCTCAGATATGGAAATACTGTAGTTTTATTTCCCACTCCTTTTCTTCATAGCTTACTACCTTATCCAATTCTGTTTAACTTGTACCATTCCCATTGCCTCCAGCACCGTTATCTTCAGCCCAAGATTGTCAACAAAGTTTCAAGGGTATACCTGATCATATAAACCTAATACTGTTTTATTCAAGTGAAATACTGGATGAGTTTTTGGCAAAGTTATATTACTCAGCTAATTTGCTACGTATCACTTCTGGAATCCTGCATGAAATGCCAGCGCTTTATTCGACAAACGAAATGTCATTAGTTGCCATGGTAAGCAGGCTATAGATGTCTTCCTAAAACTCTGGTGGAATTTTACTTATTCATTTATTCTCTTGAATATTATTAATTTCATTGTATTAATTGTTTGTGCTGTGTGAGGTCGCTACTGTTAAGGATGGGATCTCTTTAGTTCAATACTCTGTGATTTCATATGACATCATGCTATCAGTTTTCACACAGAAAATGCATTTACATAATACCGTCATTAATAATCTCACTGATGGTCTATATTTTCTTTTTTCCTCTTGCTCTGTTTGTGAAGCCTTTCAGTTATACAAGTTATATATTATATAGTTATACAAGTTATATATACAGTTATACAAGTTATATATTATATATTATATGCAGTTATTGGCAATGATGCTAACCAACCTGTTGCCAGACATTTTAATAATGGCAATCAGTGTCTCAGATATGGTAATTCGAGCCCTCTGTCCCATTTCTGGAAGCAACGATAGCTGCAAACGACATGAAATCCACCTCATATCCAAACTTGGCACTGTTCATCCTTCTGGTATTAGTGAACGCTTTTCCTATGTTTAATGCCATCTGTCCTTGCCTGTCTATAGCAGACATTGACAACATTTATCTATTTATTACTTTTACCTTATTCCCCCACTCGTATTTTGTTTTGATTATTTTTTGTAGTAATTGTCTTAGCTTCCTGTATATTTTAATATTTTTTAATTATATTATATTCTGTAATGCAATTTACATATTTTGTTTACACTTTGTGATGATTAAATCCATCTAATTGGTTTATTATTTTTTAGTCACGTGATGCTTTCATACTCTTAGTATAAAAGCCCGTGCATTTTCCCCCGTTCCCTGCTACTAACTCTTGATGAAGGGCCTTCGCTCGAAATGTAGAGTTTCTGCTTGTTTTTTGAGGTAGTAATATAACCACTCAGTAAAGCATTTTCACATTGGTACTACCTACACTGGTACAGACAGTTTTACATATATATTATATACTGCTTTTTCAACTATTTTACTTTACAGCACAAACAGCACAGTGTTCATAAGCAATTGTTGACTATAGTTTTTTTGTGTTGTCTTGATCTGTCGGAATCGATTTAGTTTAACTTTGTGCGCATTGGTTATTTTTTTAGTTTTTTTATTAGTTTTTATGTTTATATTTTATCATGCCTTTTATGTTACTCTTTTTGCCCTGTACCAGTGTATTTCACGTTTATTCATGTAGTTATTTTGTTATGATTATTTAGATGGATAACCTGTTAACCTTGTTGCAACAACGGTGTTGCGGCTCTTGAAGCTGTGAATATGCCGCATATCAAGTCGCGACTTGCCGGCCTGTCATGTTACGCCTTACGGCATACTGTGGATTTTGATAAATATACTGCATTGTCTATGGCAGAAGATATTGGCCGACTTGCTCGTCTCCACCAACATGACAAGGCTGCCTTTTTGGATGTGGCAACTCATACTTTGCATTCCTATCTCGATAAGTCCCAGGACCATTTTTGTGCTTATTTCCTCGCCTTGTTTCCCGATAAAAACTACAAAATTCTCGACCCCATCGCAAAAGTTGACAAGGCGTTTGAAGCACCTTCTTCTGGTAATCGTCCCGTTTTTTGGCCTGTTGCTACTCCTTGTCGCGACACCACATTCCAATTGCAGAATGTTGTATGTTTCTACTGTGGTGTTCCTGGCCATATGTCTCCCCGTTGTTTTTGGAAGATGCGTCAAGCATCCAATTGTCGTTTTACTCCATACCGGAACCAGAGGCTGCCTCCTGGTGGTAGACCTGGACCACAATAAGGGATACATATGAGTGTTACTGATGATCCGGATACTTTATTCTAATAGTATAATTAATAATTTGCATGATGTGTGTTAAGAACAAAATGTATACTTAATTGCTTTGTAGATCATTAGACCAAAATATATTTTCTCATTCAACCTTCCGATGTCTTGGATTTTTCATTTGTTTTCTGCATGCCCTTGTACTTAGTCTTGCTTTCTTTATAGCCAGCTGCCAAGTGTTTGCATTCCAATATCGACATTCGAATTGCAGGGTCTTAGCTAGGATTTTAGTTCTTGGGCATGTTTCTAAATTACCAGGGTGTGCACATGTCAATTACCTTGAATAGCCAAATTCACACCATTCTAGTTATACTTTTCGAGTGGGGGGGGGTGGTTGTCGGAAATTTGAAAGTTTTGTCAGAAATTTAGAAGGCTCCCCCCCCCCCGCCGGAAAAAGTGAATTTCCGCCACTGACTGCGATTAGCCGATTACAACTAATGCTGATAATAACTCGAAACTTTTGCCTGAACAATTTTCCAGTTTCTTCTAAAAAGATCTTGAACAGTTTAATATAATCTTAATTTTTGTTATATCCTCATCATATTTATCATGTAGGCGGAGCGGAACTGTTTCATTGTTTGTGTATGTAATTATAAACCAGTGTGTTTTTTTTCCATGTAACTCATTATCACTTGCCCGTTGAAGACTGCAGACTGGCAGTTGAAAGCTCGTTTAATACATTTTTAAAAACCAGATAACGTCTACACTGTTAATAATTCTGAATCTGTTATAGGTCGGAATCACCAACACAAGCATTCATCATCACTATTGTATGGCTGTACAACAAATTCATGGAGCTGAAGAACAGTGGTACGAGTGATGGTGAGGTTTCCCGTAGGATGGAGGAAACAGTGTTGGCTTATGACAACATGTGCCACCTGAACTCGCTACGTGCTTCAAGAAAGACATTACCACTACCGGCACAATTTGACAAGATGTGGCAGAGTGTTGGAAAAGTAATTGATAGGTTGCACTTGAAAAACCATAAAGACCCTTTGTGCAAAGTTAAATACAATCCAGACAGTACATTGTCTAAGTCATGCAACACAATGGCAGCTCAGCAAGTTAACGTCTGGACAAGCAGGCTCAAGCGAATTATGGTTGCCTTACCATACATCCATCATATGCTGTTCTTTCATCGGATGGTGAAAAGGAGAAATTCATACACAGAGCTGTGCTACAAAGTTGGAAAACAGCCTATTGTACCCAGAGCTGCTAAGAAATGGTTAAAAAATGTTTGATTTTTTCCATCTTTCAGGTTAGTTTGTACATGTTTCGTAAATATAACAAATAATTAACAATAGTTGAACAGCAACCTAATATCAGCTTAACAAGATTTAAGCATGTAGATGTACATACTCTACAAAAGTAGTCAAAAGTGGAAATACAGTTATGTACAGTATGACTTCTAATCTACATCAAGATGTTTTCCCTTGCGAACTCTTTTTCCTTAAATAAAATAAAAGCATTTTTGAATTGTACTGTAAATTGTGAGTTTTCGTTTGTAATTATATCCATGATTGTATATAAAACGCATACCATCCATAACTCCTTGATGGAGCGTATCCTTCAGTCTTGCACTTACTGATTTTCTTTTTCCGTTTATAAAACACATACCATCCATAACTCCTTGATGGAGCGTATCCTTCAGTCTTGCACTTACTGATTTTCTTTTTCCTTAGAGAAGAACAATTAAATTCTAATATTACGGCTCACTAATACTTGGTCTGATGAGGAATACTGGCTAAAACAGTTTGTTATTAACAGAGTGATGAATGTCGTCATTATACATTACTTTTTTCTTGGATGCTGGGAAGTGGTTGCTTCAATATCTTCGTCACCTGTTGAAATCTCTGCACTATCTTTTAAAGTAGAGAGCAAGAACACGATTTAGTCATTTTGCGTATGGTATAAATGCTAATGAACTCAGTAACAGATGTTTGGCACTTTTGAAAACGTATATAAACTATAAAGATTACTTTTTAATACATTTTCTTTATTCTTACAAGAAAAAGTCTTCATGCGGCAATATATACATTGTCCTATTTCGTTCACGCGATGCGTATTTTAACGTTGACCATGTTGTCCTCATGCATATGCATAAAGCCCGTTTTCCACTCACATATTTCACCGCCGCTGGCGAAAAATTTTGCCACCGAAAAAGTTCATTGGTTGTTCTTTCGCGCCGTCAACGAAAGGTCAAACAGAAGTTGAAAATTTTAAGCAACTGTAGCAGGAGAACAAATTCCTTCAGCGGCAAATGAATGTAAAAAATTTCTTTGTCAAAATTTTTCGCCAGCGGTGCAAAATAACGGAGTGGAAAATGGGCATAATAAACAAAAAGGCCTCTGAATATCGACGCTAATAAACTGAAATAGCTTTATATAAAATTTTTTTATATTATGATTTATGCATATACTACGGTTTTTTGTCCGGTGGGAGTGGTTTCTTGGCCATCTGGAGTTACTTCGTCTTCCATTGAAATCCCACCATCTTTTTAAGGTAAAAAGCAAGAACACTAGTTAGTTGTTTTGCATAGTACAAATGCTAATGAATTCAGTTAAGCCTAAGCTAAGCCATGAAAATATACAAAATGAATAAACATTGCCTGCTTTATAGGTACATGTTTAAGATTATGTGACCAGGCCATACAAGCCTCTAATTAACAAATTTTATTTAGGTTCTTTCACAATACCATTGAGATTTGTTTGTTTAGTTGATGGCTGGTTATTACTATTCTCTATACGAAATATAGAAAATATATTATTTTATGGAATTCAACCTTGCTTAACGTACATGAATATGAGC